CCCTTAAGGGGTTTTGTGCTGCGTAATTACCACAATCTGACCTGACTGAACTAATTGGTTTTAGATGTGAACACTGCAATGTCCTTGTAGGTCTTGCATTTATTTAACAGGAGGAAACAAGTTACTAGTCTATTATAACTACCCTTCAGACTATGAAACATCTAGCTGTGAAGCAGGCGTCCACAGAGAAAGATGTAATTAAAAAAAAAAGACAAAACAAAAAAATGTAATCACAGTGAAAGAGCTCCTGCTGTTACTCCCACCTATTGTAATGAGCCACCAGCTATCATGTTTATGGAAAAGTTGATTCACTTCAAAGAAAAGACTTAAGTTACCTTAAGTGATGCTCAGTTACAGTCAAACTCCTGCTGCTTTCATATGAATTCAGACGAAAAGTACCAGAATTGGTTCTGCTGTTTAATTGATTATCAGTAAGTGTGAGCGCCTCTATAAAAGCAGTTTTTTTTTTTTAGTTGCTCTGGAGCAGACGAGTATGTGTTAACAAAATGCCAAAAACGGAAAGCAAATCGCTTAGAGAAGCAACAGCCGCCGCCCATCAATCTGGTAAGGGGGTTGCGAGTTCATGTCCAAACAACATAAAATCAAAAATGTCCTCAATATTAAAGACAGCTGCCAGTTTTCTGACCATGTGAGCTTTCCAGAAAGTTCAGCAGCCGCAGGCCAGAATGTGAAATTCGCACAGAAGAAATGCAACGCGCTGTGCTCAGCGCATCAACATCTTGCATGAACTTTTGGAGGGAATGTGAAGGGTGATAACTTGGGCTTGTTTTACTGCAGCTATACCAGACCTGTGTGCCCTCCAGCCATTGAGTCTACCTTTGAATTTCTCCGTGTGCCAAAATGTTGTACATCCGAAGACACGGCCAACTCTCAAATGCGTGAATTTAAAAGAGAAAAAAAAGCTGCTGAAATGTCTCCAAACCTCAGTGAAGTGATATTGTTAGGAAATGTGTCAAAGACTGAGAGACTGATGGTTGTAAAAACGTTTTGAAAAGTTAAGTGACCAGTCAAGGAAGGTCGAGTATAAAGCCAGTCATTTCTGGTCATTAGATAATGTATTTGGTTACCTTTTGACCTGTTGGTTCCTGTAGATTATCTGTCATCCTCCCACAGAAATCTGTGACTTTTTGATGGTGACTCATGCCCTCCTCCAACATAAAGTGTTTTCCTTTTCCCTACAAACATAGATAAATGTCCGACTGCCTCTGCTTTCCTGGTAGTGATTAATTTAGGCTGACTTAACCCACTTCACTGTCGCAATTCATATAGAAACTGACTGGATTGAGAAATGATGCAACAAATTCTGCCCCAAACAGATTGCATGACAGGACTGTCTAATTAATGTGACTTCTACGAGCTACTTGTCAAAGTTATCTTCCCTTTGTGTCCTTTTTGTATTGTGTATTCGACTTTATGGTAAAAAAAAGTTTGTTTAGCGTCAGTTCTCTGCTGCAGCCTCATGCTGGAAAGCTGTGAGCTGTATAATTTCCTGCTAATTAGACACGTTTCCTCTGCAGCCCACGAAGAGAGGCTGCTGGAGCGCACCGTGTTTGTGTGTTCCTCTGAGTCTGCATGCATGTTTTATGTGAGCTGAACTCCTGTTGTTTCATAGCTCTCCCTCTTCACCTACTTCCTCCTTGGTCTTCATTGGAGTGTGTGCTGCTTCTCTTCCCGGAATCTGGAGAGGAATTTTAAGGATTTGAGTTGCACAACTTGATCTTGAAAGCAACCACTGAAAACCAAACATAGGTAAAAAAAAAAACAAAAAAAGGTTTTAGAACCAAACGCTACATTCAACACAATTGTGTAATTATGTGCAAAGACACTCTGGATGTCAGAGATCGTTGATGGATCAGACAACAGTGGCTGGGTTTCTATTACAAATATTCACAAAACTTTGTCTATGTCAAGGTTTCCCTCAGAAAACTGGCTAAGTGTGGTGGTTGGGTGCCAGGTCATCCATTCAGCAGCCCGTCGTGTTTTTGAGTTAAAAAGTGTTTAAAGTTAGCAGGAAACTTGAGAATATCACTTGATCATCATGTGTTATTGAAAGATTGAAGATTAATTCCTGAACACCAACCATAAAGTCTTAAAAAATACAAACATTTTAAAAAGACTTAAATAAATAAGCAAGGCTTAGCTTGGTGGGAGCACAAGTAAAGCCTGGTGGCCCGCCAGGCTTATGATACAAAATAAGAGTTTCGTTGCTCTTATTTTTGTCTCCTCTGGTGTTCCTCCTGTCCTCCTCTGAAGTAATCAGCTCGCCTCATCCGCATCACGGTCACAGATGGAGAAATGAGGACTATACAGTCCTGTCGTTCTGTCCCAAGGACACCAAAGCTTCTGCCTAGTTACCCATCAGTGTAAAGCAAATACTGTCACAACCCTGTCAGGTATGGAGAGGAAAAAAACGCTTTGAATGGAAACAAGGTTGAGGAATCTTGCACATGTCATTAAAGAAAACTGGTGTGTGTGTGTGTGTGTGTGTGTGTGTGTGTGTGTGTGTGTCAGATTACGCTTGTTGCAGAGGATAAACCCTGACGTCACAGTGACACTGACGATTACAGGCATGTTTCTTTTTGAGTTTTTTATTTTTTGTCTAAGTTGTCGCTTCCCGCCACTCACCCCTAAACTCTCAGCTTAACTCCAGAGAAAATCCTCTTTACTCCATTTGTAAACCGTGGACTGTTAAGTGCTTCGGCATCAGGCTGGAGAACTGTGAGCTGGATGTTTAATTGAGAGCGATTTCCATTAGCGCTCAGCTGCGTCTGAGCGTCCCTTGTTTTCCTGTCTTTCCCAGCTAACACATGAAAAATACAAAAGTAGTCAGTTTTCTTCACTTTTTTCCAACATTTTCTCATGTTGGTACACAAACTTAATGTTTTGTTTTTGTTTTTTTTTTGGGTCGGGGGGGATTTTATGAGACAGACCAAAACTAAATAGTGGATAATTGTGAAAGTGGAAGGAAATTAATACTAGGTTTTCATTTGCTACCCCGAAATGAAAAACCAGTGGAACCAGCTGCCTGCAGAAGTTTCTTACCGAGCCGGTAGAGTCCACCTGCATGTGATTTATTGTCTGCATACATATAGCTACTCTATGAAGGTCTAAGAGGTTTATGTACCACACACTGCCCTGAACAAAAACACCACCAGGATTAACGTCAGCATTACGTTGTGTTGATGTTTGATGTTTGCTGCTGATTTTGATGATGGCGCTTGACAAAGTGTAATGTTTCACAATCGGTGACATTGTAGTTGTTTTTTTTTAGAGATGCAAAGCATTTTGAACTGTCTTGTTGCTGAAATATGTGCCGTACAAATAAACTTGACTGATTGATTGAAAACAAGAGGATCCTGGGAGAAAACCTGTCAGAGGCAGAATAAGATAACATGAGACTGGAGCCGAGGTTCAACGTCCAGCAGGGAAAGAACACCAGACATACAGACAGAGCAACAGCTTAGAGCAGAGCAAGAAGTAATCTGCTATAAAGGTGTAGTCTAAGGTTAGAACGAGCATCTGTGGCAAAACAGGATATTTTATGTCTCCTTTAAGAATGAGCTTTAGCTATTAGCAAAAAAATAATGGCTCAAAAGGCTCAGTCTGGTGTTATATTGCACGATACATATGCAAACAACAGATTTCAGATTTTTCATTTGCAAAACACTTTGGAAACCATGCATTTATTTCACCAGACTTATTGCAGTCAAAAACATTCTCTGTGCCTGACAGGAATGTATGTGGACGCACGTGCACAAACCAACCTTTTTGCATTTTTTTTAGCTCCTTTTGACAATCACAATAAAGTTTCTATTCTACTCTATCACTTTGCGATATGATAAACTGCAGAATTTTAGCTTGGATGCGATGAAACTGTGAGAAGCTTTCAGAGCGACTCTGTCCTTTAAGGTCTGATGGGATTTTATATTCATAAAAACAAGCAGGGCGGCAGCGATCGATAACACGAGCTGAATTCTTAAGCGTCAAGTTGGTTTTTATGAAGTAGTTCCAGTTTATTTAAAGTGTGGGAAATAAAATGTTTTAAGAGACAATGTCGGTTTAGCCAAGGTTTTTCCGAAGAATCCCTCGTTTTATGGAGGCTGTTAAAGGTTTGGTGCTAGAGACCCTTTAAGGACTTTATAGGTTAACTACCGTTTTTGAATGATAAAATTTCAGGCGGCGTTATAATTTCTTTCACAGGTTTTCATTACTCCTTTCGTGCCGTTAAGCTTCAGCAGCACCACAGCCTCTCATCTCGGCAGCCGACACAAGCCTCACCCAGAGCGGGGGGGCGACAATAATCGATCCGTCCTTTTGTCCCCGTTTACTCTTCCTGGTGGAGGTTAGGGAAACGGCAGCCATATCGCAGCGGCAGCCGATGGCACAAGAGGGATCGCATGTCTGAGCGGCTCCTTCAGGTTGCCGTAGAAACCGAGCGAGGGCCATTTGTTCCAATTTGCTCTGTGGCATTGAGATCAAAAAGCTTGGAACCAATGCTAATATGCACTCCACCATATTAGCATCTGTGTTTGCAGGAGAGAGAGAAAAAAACAAACCAAAACACACACACAGTGGGGCATCTGCTCACCTCATTTACATCCACATTGTTCCCCTACAGTTCGGTGCAACGCAAGGCCTCCTACGTTTTTACAGGCTTTAATAAATGGTTTTGAACTTTCTGGTTTGTTATTATCCTCTCGGGCCTTTAGGCTTGATGTACTGGCTGCTCCCTGCCCCGCTCGCCCCCCACCCCCAGCCCTGCAGCCCCCTCAACCCGGAGCAGGCTGCTGAGTTTACAGAGCGTTCCTGCTCCGCCTTCCCTGCCCCATTGAAAAGTTGGCGGTTTGTTTACGAGAGCACCAGCTTCTTTGTGGCTTTGCGCTCCGCTCAGCCACAGCGCAGTGAGTGAGTCTTCAGACCCCCCCCCCCCCACCACCACCACCACCACTCACCCCTCTTCTTTCTCTCTTTTCTTCCAGAATCAATCTGAAAAGGACAGACGGACCCTCTCAGCCCCCAGACCCCACACCCCAGTGATGCTTAGCCGGTGAGTATGCTCTACTTGCTTGCACTCAGATTCCTCCCACCCCCCGTTACTTTTTAACGCTTTCCTTGCGCTTTCTGCTTTCAGTTTCTTTCTGCTATTCAGCTGACTTTTTCCTTCTTTTCTTGTCTTCCCCCCCCCCCCACCCAAAACTCTCCTTGGTAAAAATACACAACTCCCCTACTTACCCCC